TGTTATACCCGAGCCTAGCCCCATGAAACTCTCACTCACGCCTTACACTATCATAAGAACCAAAGGACTTATATTCAAATATTATGATCCATTTTAGTTGAATTCAAATGGTCCTTAAACCCGAAAGGCCAAAACAACCTCCGTGTGAGCTTGATCTTTTGATGAAGAAGATTGGAGAGGTGTGTAATATCTTCCCTGATTTTATATCTCTTAACACCAACTTGGTTTTATCCATCCCTGATTTTTCTTCCATTTCATATCCCTCCATTTCTCCTTCTTAACCCTATTCTTTTCTTCCATAAAATACCAAAAAGAACTCCTAAAACACCATCCATACTTTTGCCCACTATTTCCCTTCCATTTTCCTCCGCAAATCCGCCACTAAATTATCAACTTAATAAGACCCCCGTTTCACCCCTAACATAGTGTAATGTGGTGAGCTTTGCTTTATTAGATTTTTTTTAAAAAAAAAAGTGGTGAGCTTTGCATTGTTCCTTGGTGAGCTTTCCATTGACAGTTGGTGAGCTTTGCATTGATAGTTGGTGAGCTTTACACTTTGACCGCCCATGACCAATGGCCACCACCGATGACCCCCACTGTTGCCGTGGACCGGTGGTTGAGCGGTGGTTGAGTGGTGGTTGAGTGGTGGTGTTATTTTTTTAACTTTTTTTATTTAAAAAAAGTGGTGAGCTTTGCATTGACAGTTGGTGAGCTTTGCATTGGTAGTTGGTAAGCTTTGCATTGGCAGTTGGTGAGCTTTCCATTGGCAGTGTTGTGTGTTATGTCATCTCATTGAAGCATGTCATCTTACCATAAGGTGTCATCTCACTGGAGTCAATCCCATATATATATATATATATATATATATATATATATATATATATATATATATATATATAGACACACACATCATCATCCAAACACAGATATTTAAGATAGAATAGCAAACACCTAATCACAGTACAATGTAAAGAAAAAACAAATAGAAGGATTTGTATGGAAAAGCAAGTATTGTTAGATGGTGACCATGGAGGATAGTGTGGCATTTTTATTCTTTTTATTTTTGTTTAGCATCCGTCATTGGCATTGTGTAAATAATAGTGGAGCCTATGGAGAAAGTCTAGCCATCTGTCATTAATAACAATGGCAAAAGCCCTTTTTCTAACTCAACTGACCTTTTCAGGGAACATTGAGGCATATCTATTGATAGACAGTACTGCTGGCTCTTTCTGAGGCTTTAGACCTGCTCCAGATTCTGAGGTTGTCTTCAAAATTTCATGTGCTACTGAGCTTTTCCTCTTCAGTAATAGCTCTTCATTTAGGTTTACAAAAACTTCTCTGCATCTGAGATCCACATCTTTGACTACTACTCCAAATTCCCTACACCCAAGTGAAATACAGCAGAAAGGAGAACAATAGCAGTCATAAAGAAAGCTAATTTCATATCAAGAAAATGAGATTGCAAAGTTGCACCTAGGCTTTAAAGTGACGGAATATGTATAATTAAAAACCACACTTGAGATGAGATATTCATTTCATACTGAAAGTTATTCACTTCCATATGCTTAAATTATAGAATGAATGTCATAGCTTCTCAGCAAGGATTGCATTCAGTCACTCACTTTGCAGTGTCGCTTACACATCTCTGAGTTTTTGTCATGACTCAAATGTAGCAAATATCACTCCATGAGACTTCTACAATATCAATGCAATCTTTTTTCTTCTAAATTTTGAGGATGTAAATAAACAACGTAAAATGCAGCCTACTATGTCATCCATATTTTTCTTTTTTTTCTTTTTTTTACTATGTCATACATTTCATTATTAAATATACAACAACAACAAACCAGTCGGATCTCACAAGAGTAGGGTCTGGGGAGGGAATGTGTAGGCAGACCTAACCCCTACTCAAAAGTAGAGTCATTACTAAACATACTTATTTTCAATTTTTTCTCTTTCATGCTTGATCCAAACCAGATATCCATAGGAGCACAAAGAAATATAAACCTACCTACCTTTCATGCCCAAACTCAAGCAGAGCAGAAAATTCTTCACATATAAAAGGGGCAGATGTCCTTTCTGTCACAGATAGCAATGTATGGTGGAGCGGAGATGGTTCACCATTAACTAATGATCGATCATCACTACTCCGAGTATCACCTAAGTGTACAAGGACAGGAACAAGAAACAACTTCACAAACAAAGCTGGCTTGGATCCACCATCTTTTGATATGTCTAAAGTCAGTTCTTTTACCTCCACAGCAGCTTTTGGTGTCTACAGAAGTTAAAAAAAGACCAGCAAAATGTAAAGGAGGTGGCACTCATGACAAACATTTATCTTGAAGAACTCAGAATTTATCCTAACCGAAGTGTAATTAATACAAGTGCCTAGCCCCTTTCACGTGCCAATCATGTCCAGATACAACACAATATATCACAGGGAGAAGAAGACTTTATATGACACTGACATTTGTACGAACACATATATACTCAAAAAAGAAATATTGCCATGGATCAAAAATACTTTGATGACAGGTAGTGCATGACATTGTCAAAAATGACTACTTTAGCTCCATTAGCCATGGACAAAAAATTATGGAAATAAAAAAAAATCAGCTGCAAGCAGCCATGCTTACTCTGAGAGCTAACTCTGTAACAGAAACTGACAAAAATCTAGCCATATTAGCCACAACTGTCCATTTTCCTCTTCCTGACTTGCGGGATCTATGAGAAGATCGAGAGCTTGTTTTTTTAGAGGATTGAGTGCTTTTACTTGAAGTCCTCATAACAATTTCCAAATCACTAATTAACACCTGCAATTTTGGATCCCTGGATAAAAAACCAGCCCCAAGTTTAACTAACGATTGCCGAAGGCTTAACCTGATTTCACCAATGCAAATGCTCTCAACAGCACCCTACAAATGATTGATCATTGAAAAGACAATTAAATTAGGGGAATAGGCATAATACCATAATTTATAGCGACCAAGATGTTAATTGAAACCAGCTCAGGGCATGATCATCTATTCAAACTAATGATAAGAGAGACATGTTAAATCTATTGAACCTGTTTTATTGTAATACCAAAAACCCTAATTTTAACAATTACAGTGACAGAAATGGAATGATGCATGGCCACATCTGTCTTATAAAAACGAGAAGTGCAGTATACGCTCAAGTTCAATGAGTGCCTTGCATGTTTTGTTTTAAAACTGATAACATAAATAACCATTTAGAAAGTAGAGACTACTTGATGCACACTCTGAAGAAGAGAAATCCTGAACAAATAACCTTTTTAAATTTCACCACAACATCTCTCAAACATTTCCAGCCAGCAACACGAAATCTAACAAATGCTCCCCCCAATAGTCTGCTCAAAATCCAAGCTATTAATCCAGAAGCAAAACTGAAACAAAATTCGCAATTAGTGATACAAAATAAAGATGTAGAAGAGAGCCTGAAAACAAATAGAAGGTCAAACCAAACCAGAAGCTCTGAAGTTCAGTTTACTAATCCACATTAACAACTCCTAGAATACACAACTCAGATAACATCTAAAATTCATATTCAAACTGCAACGAATATGGAACATACCAATTATTTAAATAAACAATGATTTTCAGACATCATTAATTCAACCTTTCAGGGTATTGGACAATAATAATCTCACATTAGGAAAGCATGCCATTGAGCCAACCTTTACGCCTTATTATTTTCATTATACCAGCATTGAGTTAGGCTTGTTAAAACTCAATTTTAAATGACGTTGCATCCTTTATTTTCTGATATGAAAAATTAAAGAGTAAATTCCCAGAATGGTACTCAAGAATTATGTGTTTTCTCAAATTAGTCATCAAAACTAATTCCCGAAATGGTACTTAGTAATTGAAAATTATGCTCAATTCAGTCCCCCGGCTAACGGCCGTTAAAACGACGTTAAACCTTATACTACTTTCTCAAAATGGTACTTTCTAACTGGGTGTTTTCTCAAATTAGTCCATTTTTTAAATAAAAATACATTAATTATAGAAAAATATTTTAAATTTTATAGGATGATAATATAATACTAAAAACTATAAATATAAATTTTATAAATTTCAAAATAACGTATTTAGATTATTTACTATTATTTAAAAGAATATCATTTAAACCAAATATGTAATAAAGACTAGAGAAATTAACCTTAGGAGTAAAACATAGAGAAAGGGCTCTTATTTTGGTATTTCTTTTATGTTTTACTCTTATTTAGGGTGATTTCTTTAACGATTATTAAACATTTTATTTGCATGCTATTCTTCTAAATAATTATAAATAATCAAAATGATTTACTTTTAAATTTATAAAAGTATATTTATAGTGTTAAGTATTATATTGTCATCTTATAGAATTTAAAATATTTTTCCATAATGTATTTTTATTTTGAAAATGGACCAATTTGAGAAAACACTCAATTAGAAAGTACCATTTTGAGAAAGTAGTATAAAGTTTAACGCCGTTTTAACAGCCGTGTTAGTCTGGGGACTAAACTGAGGACTATTTTAAACTAACGAGTATCATCTTGAGAATTAGTTAATTTTGGGGACTAACTTGGGAAAAATACACAGTTATTGAGAACTATTTTGGGAATTTACTCAAATTTAAAAAAAAACATGCATCCACATATATCACCTATTTACATTCCAAAGAGAATATACTGACTGAGAATGATTTAGGTCTAGAAACTGGAAATAGGTGGAGATTTCATGTGAATGAACCAGTGTAATCGGTCCAACCTTTGTGTCAAGCTCTTAACAATAACACTACTTTCCCTTCACACGAGATCTCCATCACTTCCGAATTTCAAGACCTAAATCATTCTCAAACAAAAGAAGTAGACGAATTCTAGATCGTGAGTAGGTGATCTGTGTGGATATGTTTTTTATTTCAGTCAGAAATATAAAAATGCCACATCATTTTAAATTTGAGTTCTAACTAACCCAACTTGATTCTAGCATTATGAAAATAATGTGTAAATGTTTGCTCAATGTCATGCTTTTTGAAAGGTGGGATTACTATTGTCTAATACCCCAAAAGATTAGATTCAGGGTATCCAAAAAACCAATAAAGGATTGTAAAAGGTTGATGGCCTGATTCCTCTAAATTCCATGAACCAAACAAACACTCACCATTTTAGATTTTCTTTTTCCCGGGAAAATTTTCTATTTTTTCACTTCTAAGCAAGGCATCACCGCCTCATATTTTTCTAAATGGGAGGTTGCATAAACTCAAGTTATAAGTAGAAGCATCAATGACACAATGATTACTTTATTATTTTAGATTACTTGTAGCTTTAAAATTCTTAAGACTTTTTTCCCTTTTCTGTTACCGTAGAAATAAAGACAGAAATGCTAAACCATACTAAGCTCCAGAGATTATTCTAGTAGAGCCACTAAGAGGAATTTCAAGACCGTTGTGCCAATGATAGTTCTGCCCTTCTACTAGTGTTTTTCCCACAAGCTGGCAACACGGTTGGTTACTTAATCAGCACAGGAATTACCTTCCTATAGAGTGTAGAGTTCCTAGTTTACTGGCATGAGTCATCAAACTCTAGTTCAGTTCACACGCCCTAATGTGATCTTCATAGTTTATACATTCAATTATATTGGTGCATATGTACGAGTGCACGACACTTTCTGAGCTCTGGTTTAATCTTCCATAGCTTCTACTCAACTAGATGCTGATGGCTCTTTGCCATACACCAGAACCACCTCCTCGTGGTTTCCCTAGAAACCCACATAGTGAACACGCAAAGAGGTACTCCGTATATGGGAACTTCACTTACTATAGTTAACAAAGAGAATTTATGGGGAATTTTGCAAGCTAGACTTACACTCTCAAACCATAAATGTTATATGCCCCTCCCCTTCACCAAAAAGGGGCCTTTTAGATTAGATTGAGCACCAATCGTATCAAGTTACTCAAAACAAAATATACTAGTATAGTAGAGCTTGCTAAACAAGAAGGAATGGTAAACCAGCTACATATTTTGATGTCATTCCACAGATCGAAATAACTAATAGACCTTATAACATCATGTTCCGAATACAATTATGTTCACATTTTGATCCAATATTTCCACATAGGAATGGACCAATTGTCATACAGTGTCCATTACGGCCCTCGTTTTTCATATTTACCTTCATAAAGAGGTCTGACTTAATATTTGCCTACTCTTATCATTCATAGCAAATGAAGTCATAAGGCATAATGTTATTGAACTATTTCCATTTGTGAGAGTAAACTAGCTTTTTTGACAAGTTAAAGTTATGTTTTAATTATAAATTTTAAATTTATGAAGCTTCAATTCTTCTATTAAAAATAAGGTTTTTTCCATTTGTCTTTACTTCCACTACAAAATTACATGAAGATTTGAATTTTATTTTCAAGGAGCGTGAATGCTCCTCTTTGAGAAGGTGCGAGAAGTTGGCAATGGGGGATGCGACGAGGGGTAGAGCCGCTGAGGTAGACTGACGTAGAGTTAATGTGTGTTGGCCCACTGGATACCGTAGATATAAGCCTTTGGAAATCGATGATTACAGTTGCAGTGTTGGCCTCACCTCCTCCAGGTTAACTAAGTCTAGTAGGTTGTGTGTTGTGTCATATGTAGCCTTTTTGTTTGTTTGTATTTTTCTTTCCTTTCGTTGGTATTGTCTACTCTCTAGTAGTTATTTATCTTCCATTTTGTTGTTGGATTGAACTGATTGGTGGATTCTCTTTTGGATTTGGTGAAAACCTCTCTGTTTTTTATAGGTGGTGGCAAGGTGTGTGTACACCCACCCCCTGACCCACTTGTGGGATTTTATTGGGATACTCTTGTTGTATTTGTATTTAAATTTCTATAGTTCTTTTAAGAGTGGTTTGGAAACTTTACCTATGTTTGCACCACAACAAGAAACACCACCCTATGATACAGAAATACTACTTCGCATTACCCAACATTTGAGTACAGATGGTAGTATGGTGGCTAATCTCCCGGTTCCATTCCATGTAACTATGTAAGTTTATACTTAAACACCAAGAACGGCATATGAGTTCCACTTCTCACTATAAACTGAAGGAGGCCAAACACGTCAAATGAAGGATTGGAAAATGTTATGAACATAGTATTAATCTGTATGCAATCAACCACAACTTCAGTACAGGCAGTGAGATATACGAAAAGGAAAGTGAAACAGTTCACTTTAAGCCAAGTGTCCCGGGGAGGGGGGGGGGGGATTTCGTCCTTTACATCTACCACCATGTCAACACCCCACAGAACAAGTACAAAATTTGAAAGATTTGCTTCACAGTTCAAAGAAAGATGCAAGCTCAACGGGTCGATAGAAATCCTAACTATGACCATCACTGCTCATTGCACAGAAACTAAAGCTAACATCAACTACACTGTTAAACAAGCTCCAAACACCAAAAACTCCAGCACTAACACGCCCAAATCACTACCATTTTCCCAACTCAGCAAAAGCACAAGCGCGCCTCACAGGCACGATCGCGCCAAAAATCAAGAGGGGAAAAGGCGGCAGCAGTACACAGTAATGGATAGGCACATAGGGAAATTCAAATTCTGCCACTTACGTTAAGAGAAGCCACAGGATGATCGAGAGGAACAAGAACCCGAACAGAAAGTTCGCGGGAGAAGCCGCCATTTCCGGCGTGGAAGGCGCCGATCGTGGACTTTCGGGGGAGTGGGAAGTCAATGGGACTGCTGAAGCATTGTGAGGATGGAGATGGAGTGCCCTAGTGAGACAGATAAGAGCAGTGGCAGTAGAGAATCCATTGACTTGGGAGAGGATCGGTATTGGATTCGGTGGCTCTGGTGAATAGAGAATTTAGGGGAGAGCAGCGAAGAAGAAGAAGAGGTGGAGGAGATAAAGAAACGGACGTCGTGGATCTGGACATGTGTGATCAAGGCCTCTCTGTCTGTCTGTATTACAGAGAGAGAGGAAAATGAGGTTTTGGATCTGGTGAGGGCGGATGCACCGGGTAATCACATGGATGTGCAATTGAATGGCCATGAGCCAACTTTTGGTTCACTTTAGTATTCGAAATTTAAATCATAAAATAAGTTTTATTGTTTAAAATATAAAAATATGTAGATTTAGAATTGAATGATATTTTATAATTTTAAATTTTTCTAATTTCAAATTGTCAATTTCATAATACAACAAAATAATTTGTAATCCAGAATTTGAATTCCATAAAACAAAATAAATCATATGGGTCCTTTCTGAATCATTAAAAAATGGGTCTTATAAACATTGGAAAATAGTTTTTTTGGTTGGTTTTTTATTTCTTTAGCAACTTTTACTTCTTTGACTAATCAAAGAAGCCAAATTAAAAATTACAAACTAAAAATAAAAAATTTGAAATTTAAATATATAAATTTAAACTTAAAATTAAAAATATAAAATTTAAATGATAAAATTGAATTAGCAATTTTGACGAAATTGGAATTAAATTAGAATTGAAATTCTATGGAATTGGATTCTCTGACTCTAATTTATTTTTTTGCGCTACCAATTCTAAATTCACATATTTTTATGTTACCAAATAGCAAAATAAAATTCAAGTCCTGAATTTCAATTACATAGTTTGAATTTCGTGTATTAAACGAAGCCTTGAAATCTTTTGGAGAGTGTTTGAGAAGGTGTGGTGACCTATGGGAAAATCAAATATGATACTGAGTAACTTACAAGTGGAAAGTATTTATTTATATCTTTGCTGAAAAGTATTTATATAGTTTAATTTGCACATAAAAATCATAATTCATAATCTAAAACCTCTAAATGATTTGAGAATGGTTGTTAGATGTATCTACAAAATTTCTTGGTGAATAATGAAAGAGTTTATGGTCTTGTGATTTTTTTTATTTGAGGAATTTAATGAAAATCTTAATATTCATTTATAGTTGAATAATTAGTTTAAGGTGTGTTTTTACCATTTTGTCAACATGATTTTGTCTATTTTAACACAAATGAGAGATATTTAGGTAAGTTAGATCTAACAATTATTTTTAACATGATATTAGAGACATACAATTTGACTATATGACTTGATGCATAGTCATGGTAGTGGGGCATTATATGGAAAATCTTATGAAAAATACTAACTAGTGGATGCTAGCTGTGACTCGTGAGTAGAGGTGTTTGAGTTATTCCACATTTTAACTACAGATAATCAAATAAATCCATTAATAAGCATGAAGTAAATGTCCACTCTTTAAATTTGTTTTTGAATAAGTTAGGTCTAACACTTATACAACCATCTTTTGTCACAAAAACTGTGTGTTTATTAGAATGTTACTTTTCAAGTGAATATGGCATCTGAATAGTTTTCGCCAAGAAAAGATCCTGACTTATTGCGTAAAATAACGTGAACTGAAATTGAAATTGTTTGCGATTTAATTTATCTGAATTGCGTCAATTAGATACACACTCTCTAGATGCTAATTTTATCCACATTGCACCATTCATCATCCGCGAGTGAAATTGATGCCATGCAGATACAATTAATAACATTTTTATAATAGTAATAGTAATTCATTACACTATCATGAATAATTAATAGTACAAGAAATAATAATAATAATAATAATAATAATAATAATAATAATAATAATAATAATAATTTTCTCTATATAAGACTAAAAGGTAGTATGTTTCTCTGAATATGACCAAGTATATTTTATTTATTTTATGACAAATATTTTTGTATGATCTGCCATATCCCATATATATACTCTCATTAGCAACAAGTGTTGGATATATAATACCTAGTATTTCAATGACTATTCAAATATATTCTACTTAAATTGCGTAATAAGTCATTCTTCTCAAAGGCAATACATTTTAGAACTTTATATTGCTAAACATTAGAGTAAATATGACTATTTCTATTTAGGGAAAGTGATGTGTTTTATGTTTTATTTGCATAAATTACCTAATAATAAAAATAATAAATCATCTATTCTTTTACACAGAGTACAATAATAGTATATTAAATTATCCAATTTTTTTGCGACGGAAGAACCAACGTTTACTTTTATTTTACATATATAGAGTGGTATATTGATATAAACATTAAAAATGTAACAAAAATATATATGGATGGACGAAAGGATCAGGTTACAACTGAAAATAATGTTCATCTACACATGTCACTATTTTTTAGGAATATCGATCACTTAATTAGTCCATCATCTAGTATCATCCAAATATTTCGGATCTTTGTTCATTTTGTCACATTTAGTGGTTTGGATATCCATCATGTAAGGATTTGTGGGAGGAGCTTCAAAACGAATATAGTCGTACATGATTCCATAGAATGGACTCTGATTCCTTGGTTGAGTCAAGTAAATGGTATTATAATAATCTCCCGCAACAAGTGAACTTCCCTTTATATCCACATTGAATAGCCAGTATAGCCCATGTATTCCATGCCTAGCAATTGAGTTATCCTTCCCTATTAACCCACTGCTAAATAGTGGTTGTTGATTGGTGTTTGGATTGTTAACTCTTATCTGCATGATTTTGAAAAAGGGAAATATATAGTTCTATTATAGATAGATGGAGTATATATATTCAATGCATGTATTTAAAAATGTGTCTATATTAGGTTTTCTTTTTGTATAAAAATATGGAGCAATTGAGTCCCAAGTTGTATTTTGAGATAATGTACTTATATTTACCTGTAGCTCAGCATAAGTAGAAGATGCAATTGCCACACGTAATTTGTAGATGCCATCGAGATGGATACTATCAAGTTTAAACTTAATTTTCCATGTAGTTCCTTGATAAGTGTTGTCCTCCTTTTTCCTTTTTAAAGAGAATAAAAAACATATTTATATTAGATGCATAACTATCACTCATAAATGTAAATACGTCACATGGCAATGAACATTTCTGTGTTATATGAATACCTTGTGACTTGAGCATAAAACCAATCTTTCGCATAATCGCTCTCACCCACTGTGTAAACTAAGTCTTCATTTGGATATAACTCTGAGTATCTTTCCCAAAGTCCATACTGCCTAAATCTATTCAAGATAAAAAGGAAATGAAAGGAAAACATGTCATGCATTATTAAAAAACCTACTCTACGACAGCTTAAACTTATGGTTGAATGTCCAAGAATATTTTTGTACTTTGATACGTCCTTTTGCATGTAGGGGATATATTTTGTTCAAGCCTTGCACATGAACCTTTTCGTCAACAATGATTTAATAACATACCAAGAAATCAACTCAACCACAAGCTCGATCGGACTTTGATTGAAAGTCCAAGAACATTTTATACTAATCTAATATGTATTGTAATGTGTAAGTTATTTTTCTTCACTCAATTAATGTATTAATGGACAAAAGACTTATCATAAACCTGACTGTACCTATCGGGATGATTAAGATAAAGCTTGTTGATATATTTAGGGTTTGGATCAGGAACATAGAATTCAGCAGCACTACGGTCGGGAATGCCTATCTCCCACAATGTGGGTCCATCTCTTGGAGGCTCAAATACCATTTCACCCATATCCATAACAAAGCCCGAAGTTACGGTTATGTCAGCTTCGTTCCAATAATTTCCCACAAATCCAGGGACCCAAGCATGAATATTGTAGTTCCCGGGGCATATGTGGTTGATGGAAAAGTAGCCATCTTCATCAGTAGTGGTCCAAAACTGATAGTCCTAAATGAAGACAAAGAAACAAAAAAGCCATTGTCTATATATTACTGAGTACACGAATTTGACTAACTAAAAAAGTGAAGAGTTTTGAGCAAATAAAGTCTATATTTAATCATTGACCTCAATTATGAGAGAAATATCTAAATATGACTAACATATATTTATGTTTAAAAAGTAGGATTTTTAATGTGTTTATACCTTGCATTCTCTTTGCCAGGATCCAACAACATTTCCCTTTGGAGCGAGTCCAACATGTGCACCATTGGCGGGAATAGGGTCATTAAATATGTACCTTCCCAAGCCAAGACATTTTCACAACTTTAGATAGTATTTTTGAAACATTGCCCTACTAACAATTAGAGATAAAGTTTATGTACACCCTATCTCTGACTTTGCTTTTCCATTCATTATATTTTACTGAACTTATTATTATTGTTTGTGAGATAGCTGGCTATGTTTTAAAAATGTTTACTCTTTTAAACACCCATTTGACTTTAAGTTGTACTTTTTTAAAGTAACTATACAGTTGAAACTTATTTAGAAAAGAGAGGCAAATTTATCATCTTAATAGTTTGTCAAGTCAAAATAACTTTAAAATATTGAATGGAGGGAATATTTTATATTTAAAGCACAATAAAATATATTACACATATATAATATGAGCAAGGTTCCCATGACATTGCCCAACAATGTCATGGGATGACCCGGGGGCGCTCAGGTGCCCCGTTCGTAAAATTGACGGTTCCTACCCCCTAACCCCCCAGTAAACCCCCACCCCGCCCCGACCTGAATACACCTCCCCCACCCCCATTCAATTGCACCCCACAGGTTGATTTTAACTTTGAAGTCAAATTTTGAAGTCAAATTTATAACATAACACCTCATACACCACAGATGAACTTTGTTTATATCCAAAATTAGTTTTCTTACATTTTATTTGGATGATCATTTAATTGAGTGATTTTTTAACACTTTATTTTTTCTACTCCGTAATATTTTCTAACTCCACCTGGCCAGTGTTTTCTAACTCCTTCTGGTTTCTTCCAACTTCTTCCAATTTCTTCTCATATCTAACTTTAGAATTTCAACCAAAAGAACAGAGCTTTAATATGCATTATTCTTACTTGTCACTAATTAATAGTTTGCCAGTGACATTTCCACGTTGATTGGCCAATAAGTAGTCATCTGATCTTGGAAACATATAAGGCCAACTTTGGACTTCAACCTGCATCTGCAGAAAAATATTATATACAGAGTACTACACACGTTCCCAAAGATACTTAATGAAAAATATAAAAAAATATTGCAGAAGATACGATTACAATTTGTTGAGAAGAGAAAACTTTTGAATAATTTAACACCTTTTGTTTCTTAATTTAGAGATGTATGAAGTTTATTTTGGAAGAATGAGAAAATATCAAAATAGTGTGAAGTATATTTTGAAACATATGTATAGCATTTGTAATTGTAGTAACATAGCTAATACTTCATTAAATTTATTTTGAATTAATTGCACCAATATGACTTTCATTTTTGTCAATGAAGTATTTTGATCATTAATATATTTAATTACATATTAGGTAATTTAGAAAAACTGACACTCCCTTCGTCCTTGTTTTGATTACAAAATGGGAATTACGATGTAAAATGCCACAATTTTTTAAATTATTTTATTTACAAATTGGTACATCAATAAGAAATAAAAATTACATATTAAAAAACTACGTCAAAAATTCTATAAAACAAAAGGTGACATGAGTATTTTATTTTATCAAATAATTAATCAATGAAAAATACATAAATAATAAACAAAAGTTATCGAAAGAGAGAGAAAATAAAACTGTAATCAAGATGAAAATGGAGAGAGTATATGAAAATTATACATTACTTTAGCGATATTTCACTTAGTAATTGAGAATTTTAATTCACCAAAATATTAATAATGTTACTGAAGATACACATTACAAGAACTATTAACCACTACAAGAAAATATATTTTTCGCCGAACTTATTTTGCCACACATAACTAAGTGTGGCAAATAATTAAGAGATCTACAATTTATCCACTCTGATAAATGAGGTTATTAGAAATTTAGGCTTGCATTGAGACGTATACATACGACTATACGAGTACCCACATATCACATAAATAAATCCTTTAAATTAAAGCCCAACCCAATACACAAGTTAATTAATTCTAAAAAGCAGTTTCACATCACAATAAAAAAATCGGGAGTGTGGAAATTATCTCACTAGGTTGAGACGTGCGATTAGGTTCTTCGATGAACAGTGATCCGCGACTCCCTTCAATCGGAAATTCCCCTTGATTTTGTTAATTTTTTCTGGGCGATTCATAATGCCTTTGATTCGTCTTCAACAAGAGAATAAGATTCAAAGCTCAATTTGGTGATTCGTGGCAGGAATTTGATAGAAACGAAGGTCAACATTAGCGCAACTATTGTTCATCCACGATGTTGCAGGTCTGATTTTTTTCGTTCTTACTGCTGATTTCAACCCCAAGATTGAGGTATTTTGAGGGGATAACATTGCCTAACCACAATCTAGAGTTCATTGATTCGTCCAAACATGAATTGTGAGCTTTGGGTGTAATTAGAGTCTCTTAGCACTGTTCACAGCGCGAGACATACACTGGAGGTTCTCCATTTCAATTCCTCTTTCTGGTTCCGTTTTTGGGCGAACCCCAAAGGTGATTTTCAGCTCTTCTTCTTCACTTTGGTCCCCTATAACTTTGAAATTTTTTGGTGCTTGTGTTGGTATTTTCTTGTTGTGCTAGCTGCCCTCTTTGTTAGTGTGTAGTATTATTAGTTCGGATGATGATGTAGGGGAGTGGTTTGATTAACTCGCCCCAAACTTTATTTACATGGTTATTTAATTTTAAAACTTTGTTTTAAAAAACATATAAGTAAAGCATTAATAAATTATTCGATCTTTTAAGAACTCGACCCCATCATCATTATGGAGGGGGAATACTTAGATCAATCTCAATATACTTATCAATAATATATAAATAATATAGTAATTAACTAGTCTCTACCTGCATTTTGGCATCTTCCCATAAAGTGAGTGCACCATCAACTCCCATAGCATAGTTAAGATAAATGAAAATAGGCCCAAAAACTTTCTTCCATGCCTCACCTTGCGCAAATTTAGGCGTTAACTCCTCGCCGCTGTAATGAGAGCTCAAAAACATCTATTGACAAAATGAGAAAAACATATGCGAGGTTATATTTAAGGAAAGTCATTATGTTTTAGTGCTATTTAAATAAATTTCCAAGATGAATATTGAGCTTACAGCTAGGGCAGTGGGACCGACATGAGAAGTGAGGTTCTGTTTGAGGGGCCCACCGGATCGGAACTCGTTGCTAGGGGTGATCAACCAAAAGCCAACCATTGGATGGTCGGCTGTCATTGTTGATATCCAACCGTGGACTTTGTTGTCCTTGTTATCACATGAATATTGGTACTTGTCATCCACCTGCAAAAACAACCTCACCTCCATTAAAAAAAAATCTTATTTAACAACAGAAAATGAAATGTTGTGGGCTATATGCCTTCATATATACTTCACTAATTTATTAATGAATATGTGACTCAGCTCATAATATTTGGTAACAAATATTTTAAACACGTTTCTTAAAGACCTAACTCATTTAAAGAATTTTTTTCAAAACGGAAAAAGTATATTCTTTTCCCAAAAGTATGAAGTTAATTTGAAAGGTGCGTGAAGTTGAATTGACCTCTCCTTTAAAGAGAGGCTCAACGGGGTTGAGGAGTAGGACTGCTTCAGGGTAGGCGAGGGGCTGCCCTCTTCCTGTAGAGCGGTCTTCTGGTAATGGCATAAACCTTTGCCTATTGTCCGCCATGGCCATATAGTGAAACCTATATATCATAACGATATAGGGTTCAACAACTCAATTGTAATTATACATTGTTATTCTAAGAAAAATATTACAGTATATTGTTTATAGTATTTTTCTTTATTTCCTCTACACAAATTAGAATCATAGAAAATTTAGACAGTCTATTATTCAAAATTGTACCAAGTCAAATGAAAATGAAAACTATGAGAAATAGGGAGTATTAAATTCTTACTTGTCTTTTCTTAACTTGAATGCAATCCTGGTCTCGCCAATGGAAAACGGAGGCCACTCTGGTGAACCAACATGCTCGTATATCGCGTAAGAGTAAAAACCAGATGAACCGCGAAGCAAAACGTACCTATACACACACACACATAAGTGCACTAAACATATTGTGATTGATTGTTATTTTGTTTGAGACACGTTAGGCATTTGTCTTCTTCAAACACTGGGAGGTTTTTTAGATAATAATGAGTTTATTAATTACTCCGTATTACTTATTTGATAATCATGGTAAATTTGGTAAGGGTAGAGTATCTTTCGATATATAGTTTCTTTCTTAATAAAGTTCTTGGTTTATGGGATACTTATATATTCATTCTTCCTAATTTTGTATAGTGACATAATACACAACTTTATTTACCTAGAATATTCTATCCATTAATAACCTTTCTCTAATAGCAAAATAGTTGAAATAATTAACTTCGTTTTTTAAAATTAATAGTTTTTATCCTTTGTATCCTAAAATCCTCGTGCCTTCACCATATTTTCTCATGTTCACCAATTGGCAATAGTGAACTCATAACAAGAGGCGGTTGGGTATGAGGACAAGGGATGCAGGGGATTTTGGCAGTGTTGGGGAATAAGAACGTAACAATCAATTTTTCAAGTGGAGTACCGTAAAAACTTCAATTAAATGAGTGTCATAATATAACACTAAAAATAAATGTTATTTTTTACCGAGCCGTTCTAGTAAATAAAAATCATAAACTAAATAACCTTTTGTCAATATTTAGTGGAGCAAAGTGTTTGAGGGTGGGATTCCATGGCCTTGAGAATGATACCTCCACTTGCTCTTCTGTTTCAGTTATAACCTCAAAACTGGTCGCTTTAATCCTACAAACATAAAAATCTTCATCATATAACAAATTTAATCTAAATATATTAAGTCGTGCTAGTATTACACTAAGATTTATGAAAATATATTATTATTATTGTCATTAATTAGTAAAATTGTCATTGAGACATTAAAAAAGATTGTTATTCCATTCTATAAAGTCAACTTGAAATGGAGCAAGAGCACTCCACCAGGCGTACATACACTTCGAATATCCCATATTTCCCACCTTCGCTAGTATCATTCCATACCACGTCCCAGTACCTATATATACAAGTATATAACAAAAAAAAAGAATTATAAAAATTATGTTGCATTTGGCAATTGAACCACGTTGAAACTTGCATCGTTTAATTATTATAGTTGGTTCATAATTGTGTATTTTGTTTCCGCGTGTGTTTATAATATGACAACATGCAAAAGTTGTCCAAAGAGTGATTATCATTTTATAGTAAGGTAAAATGGATGATGAAAAAAAGAAAATACTTTTTAAAAAAAACGGAAAAATAAAAATTACCCTCGGTTAGATTCATCATTAAGAACTTCAAGAAGGTTGTCCATGCCATTATAACGTATGCCAGTCACAATCCCCTCTGGATTTGATAGCGTCACTTGAACTATACCATTATCCATCATAACCTGCGTCCACCACAGTTAATCAATATTTAATTACTCTGTAAATTATTGTACAGATTATTAAATTAGCCCAAGAAGCCTGCCCACATGCAGTAATCAAAAAATTAAAGATTTAAATTACATGGATTAAAGTTTCTTTTTAATTGTACAACGTAATTAATTACATACATGGCGATCTTGTTTGTACAACCGTACTCCTATAGCGCAATTGCCCTCCATCTTTATTAATTGAGTAATAATAATATTTTCCCACAATGCATATTGCAAACTGGTACACCGTGTGCCTATATATAGAGAGAGAGAAGAGTGGGAGAAATAGACCAGGAATTATAGTGAACCGGTCGAAAATGAAAAATAAGAGTCCTAATTTTTTGGTTCGACAAATTCTTTCGTGGTCTTAAGTGATCTTAAGATCCACAACCATTTTATAGACATTAGTATATAAATATCATGAATGAATTGAACTTTTTTAGAAAAATAAAAGATTTCTCGGTCTAATAAAAGTATGAGAATGTTATATTTTACATGTATGATTTGATTAAAAGAAACTAAAAGTTGGGGAAAGAATATGCCCTTCTTTTGAAAGTTAGTTGGGACTATGGGATTCCTTGAAGGGAAGGCATGCAGATCATAAGTAGTTTCTTGACTTAATCTTTAATAGTCTATGCATATGTTTTTTGTTTTAGTTTCTTCCATTGTTGTTGAATGATTGCATACACACATACATACCTTGAGAGTAAAGCAGCAGATATATATATAACTTCTGTTGAAGACAAAATTTTGATAGATGGGCCCAATTGTATTTTGGAGCAATGCGTAAACTTGGACTTGAATGATCGAATTGGGCCTATTCCACGGAAGAAATGCTTGGATATAGGCCTGTTAAACGGAAGGCCGATTCATTCAATCCTTCCTATCCAGTTTTAGTTTCAAATTTAATACCGGGGTAATAAGGATAACTGGATGAGAAATGAAAGCCGTAGAACCCTCGTCTCTGTCCGCCTCGCCGCTCCCGGATTCCCCGGCCGTTCCGGCCAAGCACCGCCGCTGTAAGCCATCTCTTTTTTTCTTCTGGAATCACTAACTTCAAGCCTATATCTCTCTGCGTATCTCCTTGTTGTAGTCGTCGGCGCCGCCGCGCATTAACACGAGTGAGGTTTTGATGCTTTGAACTCTCTGTGTACAATCGTTAGTCGAAAATGGAGATGATGCTCTGCACGAGTCAAACTCACCAAGGTTTTTGCTCATTTCTCGGTACTCGTAAATGGAAAAGTGTTAGTATCAGTTCTATAAATGCGTCTCTAAGTCGTCCTTTTGGTGGTGAATTGGGGAAATTGGAGTGGGGTTCGAAACTTAGGGATAACAAGGCCATTGCTTGCTGTAGTGTTGAAACTGTAGGGACTAACAGTAGCAATTGCTTTGAGAGTAATGAGAAACTTAGGAGGCTGTTGAAGAGACGAAAACTAGGTGAGGGATTTAGACACTTTGAGGCTATGGTTCAGTGTGGAGAAATCCCTGATGTAGATCTCTGCCGCGATTTGGTTAAGGCTTTTTCTAGAAGTGGGCAGATTAACAAGGCCACAAGGGCAGTGGAGCTTCTAGAGGGTTCAAGGATGGTGCCCGATGTCAAGTCGTACAACATCTTGATCAACGCATATTGTAAGGCGGGTGAGATTCAAAAGGCGTTTGAAGTTGTGAGCCGAATGAGTGTTTCTCCTGATGTGGTCACATACAACACCATCCTCCAGACATTGTGTGAAACCCTGAAACTCAACCAAGCTATGGAGGTTCTTGGTTTGCATCTGAAGAGCAGCCAGTGTAGCCCCAATATGTTCACTTCTAGGGCAACGCGCAAGGAAAGTGGGGCCCAGAAGGCGATGAAGCTATTGGATGAGATGAGGAGTACGGGACTTAGGCCCAATGTCGTGACATGTAACACCCTCATTGATGCGATTTGCAAATCGGAGGGTTTGGATGAAGGGGTTAGGTTCTTGAATAAAATGCCGTCCCATGGGGTCCAACCCGACCGGATTACATACAACATCGTCTTGCGTAGAATGTGTAACACCAATAGATGGGAGGATGCCTTGGGGCTGTTTGAAGAGATGGTTAAGAAACCTTGTAGTTCTCCGAGTGTCACAACCTTTAATATTCTCATCAATTTCTTGTGCCGGAAGGGTATAACTGGAAGAGCGATTGATTTGTTGGAGAAGATGCCAAAGCACGGGTGTAGGCCCAACGCCTTGAGTTACAACCCAATAGTTCACACATTATGCATTGAAAACAAGATGGAAGAGGCAATTGGGTATCTAGATGTGATGATTTCCAGGGGATATTACCCTAATACTGTGACCTATAACACATTGCTCGCCACTCTCTGCAAAGATGGGATGGTTGAAGTTGCAATCGAAATCTTTAACCAACTGAGCACAAAAAATTCTTGTTCTCCCGAGCTTATCACCTACAACTTGCTTATAGATAGTCTGTCAAAAGTGGGGAAAACGGAGCTGGCCACAAAAATGTTTGAAGAGATGCTGAAAAAAGATATGAAACCTGATTTATTAACTTTCTCTTCGCTCTTATTGGCTCTCGGTAGGGAAGGAAAGGGTTTTGAAGCAGTTAAGTTGTTTCGCGACTTGGAAGACTTGGGTACCGTGGGTAATACTGTCACTTACAATGCTGTAATGTTGGGACTTTGCAAAGCTCGCCAAACGGACCTTGCAATTGACTTGTTGGACGAAATGGTGTCAAAGGGATGTCAACCGACTCAATCTACATATACTATTCTCATTGAGGGTTTAGCCTATGAAGGGTTTGGAAAGGAAGCTCTGGGGTTGCTGGACGAGTTGTGCTCAAGAGGAGTTGTGAAGAAGAGTTTTACTGAACAGCTTAGTCAAAAAGGTGCTGTTACCACATTGTGAGCTGACATTGTGCTGCATTATTCTCCTAGTGTTTTTCTCTGTTTATATCTGGTGCCTTCCCTTTCACTTTTAGCCGTTTTTAGTAACTGTCAAGAACTAGACAATTGAATGCCATTGCTCTTCATGAGACTTTTAGAAAAAACAACTCTCCATCTTCAAAACGACCACGCATTTACCAGAAACGTATAAGGGCATGTTTGGAATAAAGAAAATATCAGAGCGAAGTTGAAGGAAACTAAACATTGAGGAAAAGAATCCCTATATTACATGTTATACATTGTGCATTTTGCATATTTATTTATTTATTTATTGTGCCCATACTTAGAGCATGCACATTGTGAAATTTGATGTATGCATACTTGATGATTGTACTGTTTTCATTTCGTTTCTAAAAGAGTTCTTTATTTTCTTGCTAACAACACTTTCAATCCGGCAAATGACAAATATGAAACCTTGAATTTGAAATTGTAGAAAAATGCACAATTTTTGTACATAGTATGACGGAGTTTTTTTCTTTATAGCACCTAACCCGATATGATACAAGTTGACCTTTTTATCGATGCGAGTTGGTTACAAGAGCTAGCTATAAAAAAAGGAGCAATGCTAGGGGTACATCAAAGGTGTACTCCATCTGTCCCCCACCCCTTTCTCCACGACTCATTTTTATCCCACTTTTATTTATTTAATTTTTTTTAGTATCTTACCCATTTTTGTGGTAATGGAGGGAGTGGGGGACGAATGGGGTACACCTTTAGTGTACCCCTAGCATTTTTTTTAAAAAAAGATAGAGACTAAAACGGAGGACAACCATCCACAACCACACCTCTTGCGGTGGGACACGTGGCAAGATCACAATGCTCGGGGTCGGTGGTGCCCCACCACGACACGGTCCGGTTCTCCAACCCCACCGCGAAGTACAAAAACACGGCCATGAACGCGACGCCGGCATCCAACGCCGCCGACAGGATGTAATTGTACCTCCGCCACCACCTCTTCCTGTACCTGAAAACAAAGAAGTTGAAGACCGTCCCCACCAGAATCCAAGACGTGTAGTTGAGGGAGGATGCCGGGGGCATGCCGTTGGTGGCCCCAAAGAGGACGGGTAGGTTGATGAGAGGGATCCATGCTTGGGAGGGGAAGGCCTTGTGTAGGAGCCAAACCACGACGGGACCCAACAAACCTCCGAGGAAGAACCAGTTAAGGGCGGAGTAGTTCCCGAGGGACCCGAAGATCCTCTTCGGGCCGACCAAACCCCAAATGACCGACGCGTCGAAGAAGACGTGGTCGCCCGGGCACGTCCACGGGCTGTTCGAGAACTTGTCTTGGTGGCAGATGTTGTCGACCGAATGCAAGAGCCACCACGCTACGACCATGTTGGTTGTTCCGGCTACTATGGTTCCTATGAACTGCATCCAATTTCACTATCAATCATCAAACCAACTTATTATACTATGAAACATTCACACTCACTACTAGAATTGCTTCATTTTATGTAAAAATTTTGGAAGTATTGGCGTCATTTAATAAATATGAATATATCGTATAATTCCGAGAGTAATAATGTGAATATTTCCATTATAATAAGATAATCGTCGAATATTTTTTTTCTTGATTTGGTTTTGGTGTATAATACCTGAACCAAGAACATGGATCTGGGAGGAATCTTCATATAATGGCCAAGCTTGAAATCGCCGAGGAAGGAGACAGCTTGAGCCATGCTCATATATCCGTACGTCTTGAAGCAAACATTGGCTATTGGCTTTCCCGGATATATTATCCCCATTATGTATTCTGTTATTATATTCAGTCCTGGTGTCTGTCTCATTTTCAAAGAACACAAATAAGACAGGAAAAAAAACTCACATGCATATATTAGATGTACAAGTTTTTTTTATGTCTCGTTTAGTGAATGCAAAAGATATGGCTTCTGATATGGGTCCGAAAAAAAGTTCAGAGTATTTAATGAAATCTAAATAAAGTTTGAATTTGATATTTTTCTCAACCATCGCCGCCCATCTTCGTCTTACTGTGAACCATTGTTTCAAATATCTGGAAACACTTATATTCAGATTTCAGTATTCGTATCTTTTTTTCAAATTTCAAAACCTATATCATATTAGTTTTGTTTCAACGACGAAATGGACCCTTAATAAGCAAGGTCAAAGCACAATTCTAACAACTATCTAATGAGAATTACCATGTTTGTGGTAGCAGTGATGATGCTAATGGGGAGGGTGAAGAAGAAGGCAATGGCAGCTGCAAAGAGAAGTCCCCAATATGGCATCTGAACCTCCTCTTTCTTGAAGATGCACAACGTTAGCGAAACCGCCATTGTCACTGAAAGAAGTATGTAAAACCACCATGAAGGTATGTCTTTGTAGTTCCTCATCAATCTAGTGTGGATATCCTCTTTTCCCTTTGTCGAGGCTCTGTATCGATCGTATATCTCCCTGCACGCACCCCCATTGAAATGAATATAAAGGGTTAATTTTCTGCAGCGAATCCTGTAAAAATCTCACTCTGGCACTTTTGAGAAATCAACCCTTTACTTTTACCCAATGTCATTGGGTCCATCCCCAAGCATATTTTTTAGCATCAATACAACCAAAAGTTTAAACTAAATTTGTTACTGTACCTTCCATAGAAGATGGCTACGTGAGAAAGCGTAGACGCAATCGTAGCAAATCCGAACCCATAGGCCAAAGAAAACATGGTGCTCAAGTGTATCCTCCCTTGCTTGGCGTACTGCGTCTCGTCAAGCTCAAACTTCTGGTTAACAATGGCCGATATATTATACAGTTGGCCCTGCGCGGTGAACAAGTCCGACGAAATAACGGGAAAGTTTTTGGCGCTGTTGACGTTGAACCCCCAATAGAACAACGGAATCACGACGTACATCACGCTCATGTAGCCGATAAAGACGTTGGCAATGGCGAAGAACGGGCTTATGAGTGGACTGGACAAAAATGACGCTATTGTGGCCCAGTCCATCGTCACGGCTCCAAGCCCAAGCCCGCTCATTCCCGACCCGAGCTGTTGGGCCGTGACAGATTTGGGGAAGGCCCAACACACCCAAGAGATGCTTTGTAGGGTCTGGAAGAAGTAGCCAGGGAATAAGTACCATAAGAAACTGCAAGTTAGGGCAATTGCAAAGAACTTTGCCCTGGACATGTGCCCTTTATCTTCACCTTCATTATCCCTTTCATGGAGTGTCCTATGAAATTGAGTTGGACCACAAATTAAAAGTGTTTTATCAAAGAATTTCATAGATCATATTGCAATTCATAAGAGCATAAAAATTAGTATATTTATTGTCCGGCCCTTTGCCAACTTAAATAAAAAAATCTCATTACAAAAAAGTTTCACATTTTTTAATCATACAGAAAAATAACTTTCCTTTATGAAAAAGTACGTCGCTTTTTTTTTTTTTGCTTCAACATAAATTTCAAAGAAACAATATTTATAAATTTTAATAACAGTAAATTGTCAAGTAAAATGTAGAACCCTATTTCAAAATAGATGTATGGAGCAAAGCCCACGGTTAAATACTTCACTCCTTTCACACACAAAATTAAAAACCTACTATGATTTTCTTTTTTCTTTTTGTTCATTTTAAAATGCTGTAATTTTGCCACTTTTTCTTTGTTTCTCTTTATTGAAAAGATTGTGGTAGAAAACACTTTCATGTCTTTTAACTAAATTCTAACCATTTATGTATAGACTAGTGTTTTTTACTATTAAACTTACATCTTTTATTAGTACTATACTTTTTAATGTTACGTGAAATCACAATGAACAATCATATGTCAATTAAATTATGAAAATGAGTCTGATTATTTTGACATTGAAGTCCAAGCTTATAATATGGTATTGGTTCATTTGAAGTGATATTGTACCCAACTATAAATACGACAATAAAATTTAAAGTCATAATACAATGTCATAATATAATATTTTGTGGCAACTTGATTTCATAATAGGACAATAAAATTTAATGTCAAAATATAAGATAGAAATTCAAAAGTTGTATGAAAACATAAAAAAGGTAGGTACCGGAAGAGGGAGATTTGGACGAGAGTGCTGGGCCACCACATGTGAGCGGGCTCCACCACGTATTTTCTTAGAAGTCCAGCCCATCCATATCCTAATACCTGTTGCCGCCCATTATAATTTATTTTCATCATTTATACCCATTAATTAATTAATTGCAGATATTTATTTTAAAAAATCACATACCACGAGAATAATCCAAAATAAATAAATAAATAAAAATAAAGAATTGCTCTAAATACTGACAACCTGATATGGATAGAGTGAACATTGCTAAACAATACTCGTAAGTGCAGTGGGAAATGAAGAAAATATTCCTCAGACTTTTCTATAGCTAGTTAAGATAGTTGAATGACATTTTTTTATTTGACTTATTTGGAAAATTATACGGGGTATAAATTTAAATTGAATTGTTTGAAAAAAATATTTATAATAAAAATTTATATACTTAAATACTACTCCCTCCGTCCCTCATAGATCTTTCCAATAGCTCTTTTTCTTTGTCTACAATAGATCTTCTTATTTCATTTTTTAACAATTAAAATACCACAACTACCTCCACTTACTTTATTTATTACACCTCACCCACCTCATTTAATACACTCCACTCATTTTTCATTAAGGGTATTATGGTAAACTTTCACTTTTTTTCAACTCTCTTTAAAAATCACCAAAAGTCAAAATGAGAAATCTTAGGGGGACGGAGGGAGTATATCTCAAAAGTATTCCTATTTCATTTTTATGTGCAAAATCATATTTTTAAATGATTTATTTACAAATTGGTATAAAAATAAAAAATCTAACTTACCTATTTAAAAACTACTCGTATATCAAAAATTCTACAAAATAGGTGGTGACAAGAATATCTTTTTATCAAATGACTAGTAAAAACATACGCAAAAAAAAGTTATCGAGCACCCTTGAATAGTAAATACAAAGTGTTTTAGTGTACGGAGAGATGAGTATCAAATAAACGATGACAATAATATTCAAATAGGTATAGAAAAATAATTAAAAATAGTTAAAAATTTACCATGTAAATACTTCTTTTTTACCTAAATTATAGTTTTCTTTATTAGATCAGACTTCTGATAACTTTTGTTACATTTTTATTTTCATTTTATGAACGGGGCTGTGTTTGGGGCAGGGGAGATTATCGATGTGGTTAAGAGCATAAGAATCGTCAATTTTACGAACAAAATAACGTAGGGGTCTCGAGCAATCTCATGATATGGCATTCTAATGTAATAGGAACTCCTCCTGTATGTCCTAAAGGTCTAGATAGTCGGTCCTATACTATACGTAGTACATGTTCTGTACTATTTTGATACGGAGCATGTCCTAAAATGCGGAGTATTTATTTTATTCTACATATTCTGATCCCTTTATTTAAGAAAGTTTTTCAATCTTTTTGTCCATACAAAAATTAATTTATTAAAAGAAAAAAATGCATCCAAAATACTTTCCATTTCTGAGTTGTGAGTTCATGATCCTAACATATGAATCCATATACTCCCTCCGTCCCTGAGTGTTTGTCCACTTTCATTTTTGCACATCATCCAATGCACTTCTTTAATCCATTTTATCTTGTAATTTGTATATTAAAAAATTATAAAAATTATATATTAATAATCTATATGTTAAAACGAATCAAACAAGATCACACATGACTATTTTTAGGCTTACACATTGAGAGAATTTGATGAGTCAAAGTACTTAGATGAACAGTTCCAAAAGTCAAAAGTGGACAAACACTCAGGGACGGACCAAGTACGAAATATTGACATTTTCACAATTTTCATGAGTTAACAAGTGAATATTTAATATATATTCTTTTACAAAAATCTTAATATTTTTTATAATATTTATATACCTAAATACCTAATATATACTTAATACTTGATTTTATTTAAATTTCTTCATCCAAAAAAAAAAAGAAAAACTAAAAGCAGCTTCGCGAATCAACCCAAGTAGACTGACTTGTTGACAAAAAAAAATACAGAGTAATAAAAAACAATTTGTAAAGAATAAATACTCCGTATTTCAAAAAAAAAAAGTCAAACTACCATTGAAAATGTGCATGTAATAGAATAATGAGAATGGAAGCTTAGTAATAGTCGTACTTAAGTAGAAATATGATGAAAATCTTATGGATTAAGTTATTTCTACCTCAGATTTTATACCTCAATTTATACGATATAGGTGTGCACTCTCATTTTGTACCAGTGTGATACTGGGATGATGGTCCGTACAGTCACGTACAAACTGTTAGTGCAAACTTTTTAAAACGCGATAGCATTTTGTGTCACTGCGAATAATCAAAATGTTACTTTATCTAACTTTGGAATACATTTTTTTGGTGTTATTGTAGCGTGGTTGAAATTATATAGGCATTCATTTTTGAATATGTAATTTTTATTTTTTAATTTTACACCATTTTTCATATAAAATGATTTGAAAATAACTTCAGTCAAACATCGTAAATCGAAACAGACAATTTAAATTGGGAGGAAGGGAGTATTTCCGTCCAATCAAACAAACATAGTCTTAACTTGTTAAAAATTTAGGACTTGTTTGGGAACATCGTTAGAGATTAGCGGTAGCATTTTGGATAAATTTTTAACGGTACAGATTACTTTAAAAACGCTAACGCTAAACGATGCGATATTCCCAAACAGGTCCTTAATAAAATAATCATTTTTGGACACTCCAAATAACCGTTTGAAATTTGAAAAAGATCATTTCCGTAGGGGGAGAAGTAAGTTTTACCTGAGTGGTAATAACAAGGAGCCAGCCAGTGAAAAAAGAGATACTGCGGCGGTAAAAAGCGATAATAATGGTAACAATCCCAACGGCATAAGCGGTCCCACTCCCCACGTTCCCAAAGATGGTGATCAGCACGTGCTCCTTCATGTTAAACGGGCCCGGGTTCAGCGAGAACTCCCGCGCCCCGAATCCGGGAACCCGGAACTTCGCCGCCGGCAGCGCCGCCGCCATGAACCGCCCGATCGGGAGCGTCGCCACCTGGACGGTGATCTGCGTGATCACCAGCGGCTCCTTCCGGTAGGCGAAGAACTGGTTGAGGAAGGAGAGAAGCACGCAGGAGAAGACGCCCAGGACCCACATTCTGAAGGTCCATACGGGCTGGGTCGGGTCGTCGGTGACGGGTACGGTCAACCGGACCTGCTCTATCGGAGAGAGCTCCTCTTCGTTTACTGTTCCGGCGTCTTCCCCCGGGATTTTCGGAGCCTCGATTTCCACTGTTCCCATTTTCTTTTTTTTTTTTTAAATTTATTTTGCCGTCCGGTGGTTGGGGGTGGTGGGAAAAATAGGAGCCACCGCCATTGGTTTATTTGTAGGCAAAATAATAATGTTAAGGTGGACTTTAATTGTTTGGTCAACTTTCTTGCTCCCTCCTAGGCTCCTCCCTTCAAAAAATAAAATTATTCATTATTTTGTTTAAAAATCTTTTACTTTTTTTTGTAGTTCTCCTTTAAAATTGAAGACTAATTTTAAATTGTATGTTTCGGTTTACGATATTTAACATTTAACCGAAGTTATTTTATACGAAGTATAAAAATGGTGTACAGTTAAAAAATAAAATTTATATAATTAAAAGCTACATCAAAAGATCTACAAAATTAGTGATGATATGATGGTGACATGATTATATTATTTTATCAAATGATCAATGAAAATAGAAAAAAATTAGATAAAATTTGATCATGTAAATAAATTAATAAATACTCCGTAGTAAATATATAATTTAATTTGGGAGAGTAATATTTATTTTAAGACAAAACTAAATTGGGGTGAGGGGTGGGTGGGGTACTTGGGAGGTGCATGTAGGGACCTGTGTCCATGTATTTTGTCAATGGGACATAATAATGGAGAGAGAGCAATTGCAATTTGCAAATGGTCATTGGCCTACTCCCACTTGGAGTGTGTGTCCACATTACTCACTCTTTATGATAAGGTTGACAACGTTTAATCCAAACTATTTTTCATATTACGACTATAAATTAAGCTCACATGATCTTTGAAGAGTTAAACTTTGAAAAAAGTGATTTACAATGTACTCCCTCCGTCCCATTGTCTTTGTCCACTTACCTTTTGGCACACCATCCAATGCACTTCTTTAATCCATTTTATCTTGTAATTTGTATATTAAAAAATTATAGAAATTATATATTAATAATCTATATGTTAAGACGAATCAAACAAGATCACACATGACTATTTTTAGCCTTACACATTGAGAGAATTTGATGAGTCAAAGTACTTAGATGAACAGTTCCAAAAGTCAAAAGTGGACAAAGACAGTGGGACGGAGGTAGTAATTATTAAACGGTGTTTTCAAGATCGTATGTTATCTTCAACTTATCTGATTGGTTTTGATCTGATTAAATAAAGTTCTAATCTGATATCATTATAGTTGTATTTCAAAGTTTTGTTTGATCTAATCTTATTAAATTTCAATAAAAACAAGTAATAAATAAAAAGAATAAGCAAAAGAGAAGAAAATCACAATCAATTGGTCCATTTGATCATTGGTGTGCCAATATCATGACCTAAAAAGATTGTGATTAATCCCCAATAATATACGAGGTATTATACTTCCTCGATTCCAAAAATAATTTCTCAATTCACAAATAAAAAATAATTGAATTTTTGTTTAATTCTATATTTTTATCGATTATTTGATAAATAAATTATTCTTGTCACATCTTATTTTTAAGAAATTTTAATGTACTTTTTAAATATGTAAATTTTTACTTTTTATTTCTAACCAATCTTTAAATAAAAATGAATTAAAAAGAACTTAAAATTTTACTTCATTTTACGTAATATGGCTAACATTTTGAGACCGAGGGAGTAGGTACTATAGTAAATTTCATTTGTTCAGAAATTTTCTTCCAGTTATTATTTACACAATCAAACTTTCATCACTTTATTTATTTCTATTAACCATTTGATTAAATAATCAAAAAGTAATAAATTGAATTAAAAATAAATCCAATCAAATCTCATAAACGAAATTTCATTCATCTTGAGATGAAATTTTGAAATAACATATTTTTATTAAAAAAATTATTTTTTAAATATAAATTTTACTCCGTAACGATTACTCGGGTGAAAGAACTTAAGAGAGTACCACCATAATGGTGACGATCTCAAGGACGTAAGTAGTTCCACTCCCAAAAGCATTTTCTATTTTATCTAACCTCTTTTTCGGGCAATATACGGAGTAAACTATTTTGTCCATTTAGGGTGTGTTTGCTAGAAAAAAAATATGAATTTTAAATTTTTAATATCTCCAAATATCAAATTTTTTTTTTGGATATTTGGTAAAGCTAAAAGAAATATCGAATTTGATATTTCAAGTTATCATAAATCCTTCAGATAGAGGATTTAGATATCTCTCGAATTTGAGATATATCAATATGTGGGCTTGATATATCTTTTAACCATTAACCATTCTCCGTCACTGGCTACTATTTCTAAAATGTACAAAAAAATTTAATCAATATACAGCGTATTTAATTAAATATACAAAATAATATTACTTCACAAGAAATCTATATCAATGTATAAATAAAATCAATTCAGAAGAGATTAAATTTTGCACACTGTTCGAATAAGGACGATAATTTAGGAATAGAGAGTAAAAGTTTCGTAGTACGGTGTAAAATCTAAGGCCTCGTTTGGTACACGAAATTCAAATTGTGAAATTAGAATTAAGGACTTCAATTCCAATTCTGGTGTTTGGTAGCACAAAAATTATGTAAATGTGGAATTGATAGTGCAAAAAATGAATTAGAATTGATGAATTCAATTCTATGGAATTGAATCCTATGAAATTTCAATTCCAATTCTATCAATTCCGTATACCAATCCTACAAAGAAAAATTCAAAAACGACAAAGTTTAGAGATACATATTACACACATGTAAGATACAAATTACATACACATGTAAGAGTGCAAGGATGCACCCTTTTGCATAGCTTCGCATATACAACAATGTACAGACAGACCAGAGTGTCATACAAGTGTCGGGGGGGGGGGGGTAGGGGGACAAAGAAAACTAGGGAGTAAGTTGGGATTCAGTGCGGTTACAGAACCAGTGTTATTGATGCACGCCAGCGAATCACAGCTCAAATGAAGGGCTGAGATCGCGACTGAATGTGCTTCAAGAACACTGGTAATGCAGCACCACCACCACCACCCATGAATCCGTTCGAAGCCCAATGGAATTATTAGACTATAAAGCACAGTACATATATGATTTTGATACATGGAAGGAAAATCAGCGTTTTTTACTCTTTGTTTTTGTAAGTCTTGATTTACTCTGTTCATCGCGCGGTTTCCAAATCAGATCCTCAAGATTGCCACAAAAGTTCTTGTAAAACTGTAAAAAAAAGGAAGAAGCAAAGTTACTACTTACTACCCATTGTTCATTACTTTGCAATTCGACGAATCATTACTCTGCTTGGTGGGAGGGGAGATTTGGAAGGGAATGGAGGGAGAGGGCACTTTTTTCTTCCAAGTTAAGAGATCTAAAATAAAATATTTGGTTTATGATAATTATGATGACAACGACGACGATGATAATATAGAGTGATGGTGATGATTCAGTTCATACTTCATACTAATTTATTCTTGAAATATATGGTATGGTTTTAGCCTTGGGTACATAGTGGACTTAACCAAAATGACACATGAAACTTCTGTTGCCTCTTTAACACTATGTTTGGTTCAAGGAATTTTGAAGGAAAAGAAAAGAAAATGGTTTTCTCTCATTTTCCTTACTAAAATGTGAGGAATTTGATTTTCCCTCCACTTGGTACATTTTGCCTTCTCATTCTCTTTTCCTTCCACTTTTCCTTTCTAACCAAACAAGAAAACTTGTTTTCCACTTCATTTTCTTTTCTTTTCTCCTTTGAATTCCTTGAACCAAACATAGTGTAAATACAATGCATCAAGGGTCTAATGCGAACAGCATAACTGATTTTACAGGGGTAAGGCCGCTTATATCTTGAACTCCTAGATCCAAGGGAGTTGAGAATATGTTGCGTTTGTGGTAGTAGTAGTAGTAGTTGTTCTTGTACTCCCTCCGTCCGCCATAGATCATCCCATTAACGAGGCTTGACCGACTTTATTTTCAATTCAATTTATTTGATTGTAGGTATAGAATTTAAAAATAACATTTATATAGTAAAAACTACATGAAAAGTTCTACAAAACAAAAGGTGACAAGACTATTTTATTTTATAAAATGTGTATTCAAAATAAGCAAACAAATGAGTTAAGTTTGACCCTATGAATAGTGTCTGAGGAGATCTATGGTGGACTCAAAGTGTATATGATATTATGATATGGTTTTGGATAGAAAATCATAATGTGAAAGGAAGCTAACCTTGTCATATTCAGTATGATCTCCAGATGCTTTCTGAATGTCCACCATGAAAAATGTTGGAGCTACTTGGAAAATCTGCACAAAAGAGCATTAAATTCAACTAAAATACAGTGTAGTAACAAGGTTGAGATTTCAAATATGGAGCAATAATAGTTACGAACATGCCTCCAAAATTACTGAGAAGCGTGATATCTTATTGGCGGATAGACCTTCGACCCTCATCTGGCAGATAGTGTGAGTTCAAATGTTACAGAAAAAAAAAACAACCATAAGCACATGCACCATGGGAAAGACATCAATGAATTTGCTTACAAAATGCAGGTGATGGGTATATATTGAGACCAACCAAAAATGTACAGTGAATTAGGCGCAATATGCTCAGTCCATTCCATAACTAATAATGAATTTATGCCCAGACCACTGAAGCCTACACATTTGGTAAGAGGATCTAGTCCACGTGGAATGGGTCAGATTAAACCAACCATAACATAGGTTAGGATTTGCCAAGTGACGGGCTGAGGTAGGCTTAGGGTTAGGAGGCAACTTCCAACGGTTGTGCAACCCCTTGATCTCTATAAACCCACCTCATGTACTCTTGAAATATGCAAAGGGCGTATTAGTGCTTCGTCTCTCTCCTTCTATTATTTACGATCTATTATTTGGTATTTACTACGTCATAAAATCCGATGGATTAATCATCATATGAAAAGAGGGGAAAGACAACAATGAATTAGACAACAATGAATTAGTTTTCGAAGCAATAACAAACACAATCATCAATAATACTCATTAGTCCACCTTATAGTTACGGATGTGTGTCTTGAACCCCATTGACTGGGCAACGACTTCCATAGTTGATAAGGCAACCTTTGCAGGTTTTTGTGTAAGAAAGCGTGTTTGGTGATTTGCTGAATCCTGGAAATGGTATATTCCACTAATCAATGACCAAACACAATTAATTTATATTAAGAAAGTTCTATCAGAATAATGGTAATTGTGTTACAAAAAGTGACCTCTAGATGACTTTACAGGTACGGATTGAATTACTGATACCCGTTATGTTCAACTAAGCCATTTCATCAATAAAACACTAAACATGAAAATTGACCCTAAATTCCTATATGGATGTAATCCTCATATAGGACAATTGAAAAAGAATCTCCCCAATGAAACCACATTCATAACATGGAGATGATGAGTTTGAAATTAAAATCTCCCTTGCCCACACAAAAAAGGGAAATGGAGAATAAAAATAACTATGTTGGATGATGTAAGCAATGTTACCAGCTTAGGATCAAACAAGACTGAAAGGTTAAATCCTTCAGAGAGGATAATTAGGTCAAATGCATTGAGAGCTAGAGGTCCAAAATCTTCATTGTTGCATTGCTCATTGAGCCCTTCTTCCTACAAGACAATATAAATCAGATCAACTTAAAAAATACTCCACTATTTTGCTATAGGAAGACCACTTAGTAGATTCTGTTTAACCAATTCTTTTTATCTAACAATATAATCACTTCACAAACAAAAGGCACATTATTACTAGCATGCATGAGGCAACAAGTTCAAGAATGGAAAAGTTGGTATACTCTTTGAAAATACAACCCCAATAGAATCCCACAAGACAGTACGGTTTTCAGGGTGTGTGTACGCATACCTTACCCCTACTTGGAAGTAGGGAGGCTATTTCCAAGAAACCCCAGCTCAATACAAAAGCACAGATAAGGTAAACATAAAACTAAACCCAAAGCACAGAAAGCACACATGCACATGCTACAAACTTACGCAACAAGGCAGGAACAAAGACAACAGCAAAACACTAAGACCCAAAGATCTACCCAACAACTCTACTACTAACTCTCTAGGCAGTAGGCACTCCTATCTAAGATCACTACTTCAATGTCTTTAGCATTTTCATTCAAAGTTTCACATGTTTTTGATGTTTTTGGTTTAGTGATGTTTTAGCTAAATTTCGTACCAACTTTCTGTCAACCGCGTTAAAATTGTTAGACAGGACCAGAACAAAGTAAAACAGAATATTTTATTGCTGTAGAACTGTACAAGATTATTTGTGTTCTCTAAATATAAATAGAGAACAGACCAACATGACTTTTACTAACCAACACAACTATTACAAACCAACACACTTATTAACAATAGAAACTACCCATAACTGCCTTTTAGAAACTACCCACTGTTTTTTTTAATTAATTAAATATGTAAAACACACTAAACGACACCACACTAACTGCCTCTTATACTAACTGACCCGAACATTGACTCAATAGCCATTCGGTTACATGTAATATGTGAACAAACCCGATTATATCTAACAAAAGTGCATGTGCTCTAATTGTTTACATTTAGAGTGTAATCTCACATCAAGTGATATAAAAATCAATACTAACCTCACTATCATCAAAAGCTGCATTAATGTCATCTAAATTAACATCCTCGTACTCTATGATGTTTGCTGGAACATAACCCTTCTTAAACCAATCATCATTCCTGATGTCTCCAATCCTGATGCGCTATTAAATAGAGCAAAGATGAAAATCAGAAAGAGTGCACATGAAAAACAATTAGCAAACATTGTACTCCGTAAAAGACTAAGTCTGTTTTCAAGGTGCTTTTATGGAAGAATTAACGCTGATTACTATGGCACTAGATTCAAGTCATTCAACAATGATTTATTTCTCTACAACAACAACAACAACCCAGTTGGGTCCCACAAGAGTAGGGTATGGGGAAGGTGTGTATATGCAGACGTTACCCCTACTCAAAAGTAGAGAGACTTTTTCCAAGAGACCCCAACTTGAGTAAGGTCCTGTTCTCTTCAGCTTATTTCTGCTACTTATTGCTTATTCTTATAAGAAACACAAATCCATTCAGATCAGATTCATTCATATATGATCAATTCATATCAGAAAATTATTTAAAAAAATAAATATATAAAAAATAATAATAATAAAAATTACAATGTTAATAATGATTAAAATAACGGTGGCCTTCTTTTGACAACAACCCTTGTCATAATATGACAACAAGGCCTACAATGCTCTGTTCGGAAAATTGATGGTTCTTACCCCCCTAAATCCCCACGACCACCACCCTAGCAACCCCCCCCCCTCCCCCACCCAAAATCTCTGACTAGGGGGAGGGGTGCTGCTAGGGTGGGGGCAAGGGGTTTAGGGGGGGTTAGGGGGGTAGGAACCATCAATTTTTCGAACCGAGCATTGTAGGTTATTGTTGTCATAATATGACACCCCTACTTGTTGTCAAAAGAAGGGGGCCGTTAAAATAATAATAATAATAATCAGTATTATTAACTAATAATAATATTGATTAATATTATTTCATTATTAATTAATAATAATTATTATTATTTATTATTGTCATACTTAATAATAACTGTAACAATAATAAATAATAATGATTCAAATGATAATAATAATTATTAATAATGATAATAATAGTTAATAATAATATTAATTTGTAAATATGATAATAACAATAATTATTGTTAAATAAAAATAATAGACTTTAAAATTCATTATTATTTTAATTATAATTATAATTAATAATGATAATAATTATCATTAATGATAACACGTAATAATATTATTATTATTAAATATAATTATTAAAATAATAAGGAATATAATTATTTATTTATAGTTACAAGTATAATTATTAATAATAAAAATTATTATTGTAAATATTATTGATAATAAATGATTAATACTCGTAATATATTATTATTATTATCATCATCATCATTACTCTAATTATTTGAATTTGAATTAAATCCATTCAGATCAGATTAGATCTATTTAGATCAGATCAGATTTATTCAGATCGGATCCATTCTGATCAGATCAAATCAGCCGAAGAGAACGCAGCCTAACACTGGCAGCATAGTGAGCACCGAAAGCACAGAGCATGGACAACGATTTATTTCTATGTCCCATAAATATATCATTGTGATGTTCCATTGACTTGGCACGCTCATTAAGAAAATGATAGTGTGATTTGAATTAACGAGTATTTTGAAATAGGAGAAACAATATCAACCACATAATTCTTTCATTGCTCCCTAGGTTCCTATATCAATGCAGATTTTGACGGGGTACAAGAGTTAAGAAAATGAACACTATGTGGTTGAAATTTATTTAGAAGAGAGAAATAAATGAACCGCATGCTGCTTTCCTTTGAAATAGATGTGCAATAATTTTAGGACGGACGAAAAAGTTATAAAGTGTGAAGATTATATTTAGGTAGAAATATAGAAAAAAGGGAAATTAGACGAAAATTATGGGATGGATGGAGTACTTACTGTTTCAGGATTAGGGTCTAAAATCTTATGAATCAAAGATTTTGCTCCGACTGGGAACCGTGATGGGCAAGAAAATTCTGCTCTCTCAATCTGTAGGAAAAGAGCAATTCAGCGACAAGCAACTCAAAACAAGTTACTTCAGCAGTGTTAATACCTAATAATGCATTATGCATGTCTAGCGATTATTAATTGCTCAGTACCTTGCCATACAAAGTAGTGAGATCAACATCATCGAATGGTAGATAACCTGCCATCAGAACATAAAGAATCACACCACAAGACCACACATCCGCCAATGCCCCATCATAACCTTTATGGCTGAGAACCTGTATGAGAAATTTAAAGCGAAACAGAGAATGTTAAAGACTGTGTGTTGTCAATAATATTATACTCCATAGTAAATCACTAATGCATTATGCATGATGATGAACTTTAGTTCACCGAAATGTATGAGAATTATTACTGATGTTAGATCGTAAATAATATTGAGAGATAAGCTACATAAAACCCTTTGAATATTCAGAGTTAGATTCTTTCCCCAAGGAAGGAGTATTTAGTGGGTCGAGAGGCAATCAAGGAGCCAATCACAATCCACTTCGCTAGGAGAGACAAGTGGACTGTGGACACTTTTTTGGGAGCTTAGCAGCGCCTTCCTTGCTCCTTACTCCAGCAGATTTGGACCTCACTTTCAGGTCGAGTTGGCCCGGCCCATTTCATGCGGGTCTCTAACCTCAACTCGTCGTATGGGCTTTGCTAGTATGGGTCTAAAAACAAATAATAGCTATGAAACATGATGGAATATTAGGCCTAACCCGTTTATACATTTGGGCCAGTCCCTATTTAGCCACCACTTTGAAATATAATTCAATCAGTAGGCATCTAATTACCTCAGGTGCAACATAGTTAGGGGTTCCACATGTAGTCTTAAGAAGGGAAACACCCTGTGCATGAACATTATGTTAACAGCATATTGACTTTCATAAATTGGATGAGCAAACAAAGCTAGAGATGTTCTTTAGCGCCCTACTGGATCAGGAGATGCACTGAGTCCAAAATCTGAAATTTTCAAATTTCCTTGGGAATCTAGCAGAAGATTTTCAGGCTGCACAAAATATAACAATAAGACCTTGCAGGAATGCATTGAAAACATATGGAATATAATCTGATATTCCGTATTTTAAATGGTCTGCACCTTTAAATCTCTATGATAAACACCCTTACTATGACAATAATCCACACCATCAATGAGCTGTTGGAAGTATCTCCGAGACTCTGCTTCGCTTAATCGTCCCTGGTGAATCTGCGAAAGGGTGGTAACATTAGGTCTTATATCTATAAATATGCTGAATTATATATAATCTTTAAGGTTGAAGGGCTCACTATTTTGTCAAAAAGTTCACCCCCTGTTATGAATTCCAAGATGATGTATATCTTGGTACGGCTTGCAATTACCTGGCAGTAAATGTCCTTTTTAGCCCGTAGAAAGCTTGAATATAAGAAATAAACACACTCAAAAACAACAACAGCAACGTTGAATTCTACAAAAAGTAGGGCTTGGGAAGAGTAAGAGTGAGCAGACATTATCCCTAGTTCCCTACTTAGGAAGCAGAGAGGCTGTTTCCAAGACACACTCATAAACAATAAGAAAAAAATTGTGAAGTGATTGGAACAACCCCCCCCCCCCCACACACACACACACCCTTTGGTGAGATTATTATAAAAGAGCACATATACTCTTGTGTTTTAACTCATGCCTCGTGTAATCGAACAACATACGGATGCCGGACAAGCTTCATAATTGATATCTCTCTCTTAATCTGCACCAAGAAGATGCATAAAACTATCACTAAAGGATAAAATAGTAACAACAAAATCAGCACTCCATAGAGTGTATAGGTTTATAACATTCATCAACAAATCACTCCCTTCCATCTTGCATTTACTAACATATTATGCACTTCGCGATCACAATTGCTTACAACCAGAAAATGACAATTCTATAGGCTATATTCTATTCTCTATAATTGTGAAATTCTATCCCAGAACTAATAAGAGAGAGGAACTCCAACTCATATTCATATACTCTGTATATTAATCAGGCTTTGGACATGAACTTAATATCCTTAACATCTCCTCAAATGCAACATGGCTGCTTTTTACAGAAGTTTTAACTTGCTCGAATGTAACTGAACTTCTTTTCTTAAGGTCTTCCAAGTCTTCGCTCCAATAACATGTAGAATCATGAGATTACATCCCAAAATAAACGAAAGAGGAACTCATACTATTGACCTTATTCTACTCCGTAGTATATTAGTACAAGTGCTGATCAGGGTAAATGTGTATAGGGTTTTTAGGGTAAATCACCTGGTCGACCATCTTGTGCTTGATGATGGCGCTGCGATCGATGACTTTCATGGCGACGCTCTCGCCGGTCTCCGTGTTCTGAGCGAACTTGACCTTCGCGAATGTTCCTTCCCCAATCGTCCTCCCCACTTCATACTTCCCAACCTTCCTCACCACCATCTTTCACTTCCTCGCGCCTTGTTTCTTCCGCCGATTCCCGGCCTCTAGACGCATCCGATTCCGGAATCTCTGACGGGAGGGGGGAAATATGCAAATTTATTCTGGCTCGGAGGTCGGCGAGTTTCTGAACTGCGCAGTGAGTATATATATATGATCAGATTTTCTGGCGACTGAGAAAAGTTGATTTGATTGGAGTTGCAGGAAGAAGAATTTTACCGGGGGGCAAATGAACAGAGACGAGGAAATGATTGGGAATTTACAGAAGTTTGGTAAAGTCTGAGAAAGAAAGAAAGAAGAGTGGAAGAGGACACTGGAGTCAGTGAAGTGATATGGAGTTTGAGATATCAAATCTTCATACGAAACATTTTTTCAAATTTGGAAAATGTCAAAACATTTTAAAATTTGTAATATCTAAAATATCAAATTATGCAACTCAAAAAAAAAATCAAATTATGGATTAAATCAACTTTAGACTTCACCAAATACCTAAAAGAAAATTAGAAAAGTGTGATTCTATTTGTCCTATAATTGGTGGAGGAAGTAAATCCTGAAATGTGCCTTAAGTGATTATTGACAATATGATTTTATCACATCCTTAAAGAGTCAAATCCAAAGAGTCGTCTATAGGATTCGAACCTTACTCTATACGGTCACCAGCAAGGTTCGCTAACTACTTTTGGGAGATGAACTGGAGGATTACTCTCTCGGGTAAATAAATAGAGGTTGAACATTGAACATGTAAATTAAATCATGTTAGAATGTCCAAACATGGTGTCATTTCCAAACTTGTAAAAAGAAACTAGATTAAGTATCAGATAAGGACTACAGATTATGTTGACAAAGCACTTACTGCGTTATGGGAAAATAATTTAAAGATCTAAATGAAGCATTCTCATATTGCATTTATTAAAAATAAGTCTATGATTGGTTCAATGGCTAATAGTTTAGATTTGTTCGGGATATAATCTTTGGCATTTTGAAAAAAATACCGTGAAACTAAACATTAATGTAATGAAATAATACCAAGACCAAAAGATCAAACAACAATTTCTAAAAAATAAAAAAAGAATGGCAAAAACAAAATGAGAATTTTAAAAGAAGTATTGTAAATTTTCTATGGGACCAAGTAATCATTTAAAAAAAATTATATGTCTAAAAATTTTGTTTGCATTTTGAAAGTAATTACTCATTTTTTATTCATAGACCGTGATAATTTCTTATATTTGTATATTTTCAATAATTATTAAAATAAAATATCATTATCAATCTTATTTTAGAGAGCTAATGATATATATTTGAAATATACAAATTGTGTGTTTTATTTTAATAACAATTTGTAAATAAAATTATTTCATAATGACGTGATTTTGAACACTTCTAATGTGAGATGATATTTTTGGGACAACACTTAAATTAACATCAATTTTAACAAGATTAGAAATATCATAAATGTTTGAATTTCGTTAATACTATACTACAATCATCCCGATTCAGTTATTTCATTTTAAACAACGTGTGAAATTCTATATCTTTTAAAATTATTTTATTTATAAAGTTGCATAAAAAATTAAAAATAAAAAGTATAAATTATATATTTCAAAACTACATTAAAAAATTATTGAAAATAAAATATAAGTAGTTTATTTTATTGAATAGCAATCAATAAAGGCATACACACTCCGTCGCAAAAAAAAACTCTTTGTTTTACTTAATAAGTGTATAAAAAACAAACATTTTTTGTTGAAAGTTATATAGAGGAGGGAAAATTATGACTCACTCAGAATTTTTCAAAGTTTTTAAAAATGAGTAGTGCTATTGTGGCCATAAGGTTTGTATATGAGTTGTGATCCTCACATAGTCTTAATGGAGTCATAGTTGGTTTCTTTTTTTCACAAGACTCAGTATATCTAATTATTTCATATATTAAAATCTATAAAATGAATACAGTTTTAAAAACTAGAAATAATTTTGCCTTCCAAAAAATGAAGAAAGATGTTTTTTGTATGTCTAGAAAAGGAAAGAATGAATTTTCTTAGACAAAAAAAGGAAAAATAAAAAATGTTATTGAAATTCAAAATATTAACTCAATGATAATAGAAGCATGTTAGTATAGTCGCAGGGAAGCTACTCTAAGCGTATCGATATTCAATCTTCGAGTCTTGTTTTTACGCTTAACAAATTGAGTTTAGAAGTTAAAGTTATTATTCTTTCCGTCATAAATTAAATTATCTGTTTATTATTCACATGATTAAACTTCATCCAATTTCTTTCCTCATTTTTTGTTTGTCATATAAAAAATAATATAATCATATCACAATTAATTTTACAGATATTTTTATGTAATTTTTTTTAATTCTATACTATTTTTATATAGAATAATTTAAAAAAGAGTAAATTATATAAAATGTCCCCAGTTATAAGTCGTTTTACATATTAAGTCCCTACATATCAAATACTACTAATTTAGTCCCCAATTATTATATTTATTTCCACGAATGGTCCTTTGTTAACATTTCCGTTAAGAACGTGCACAAAATTGTATATTCATATTCCTCACTCTCTTCAATTAAGTTTCCTTCATTTTCTCATACTCTTTTCCAAACTTGTCGCTGAGTTTGAATCTCTTAAACCAAAAACTTAAATGATCGTTCCTCCAGTTAGACATACAATTGAGAGAAGAGTGATGATTTTGGTTTAGGGTTCAAAGCTAGAAACTCAGCGACGGGTTTGAGAAAGGTGTGCAAGGGAGGAGGGAAGCCTAATTGAGGAGAGAAAGGGGGGTGAATTTATAATTTTGCCCACGTTTTTAACGAAAATGTTAACAAAGGACCATTCGTGGAAATAAATATAATAATTGGGGACTAAATTAGTAATATTTGATACGTAGGGACTAAATATGTAAAACGGCCTATAACTGGGGACCTTTTATAGAATTTACTCCTTAAAAAAACTTCAATTAAATATCTTTACACAAAACAGATAATATGAGCAGAGGAAATAAATTGGAGTATATACGGAGTACAAAAAACTCTCCAAATTGTATTGTCTTGGCAGGTTTCAAATAATCAAATTTTAGGAGTTACGATCAGTCTTGAAGGTCAGACAGAAGTTAACGAAGAAGGAATCAAGGAACTATGGTGAAAGCAGTGGTGGGAGAGGAAGTGCAGCTGAAACTAGCCGAAGAGCGGCTTACCAAATCGGGCTTGGCTGCTCAGATAGGGCTTGTGATAGGGAAGCTGAGCTCAAGCTTAGATCGCGGTTTCATATTCGATTTGATCCCGACGCCGCTGAACGACGCCGGAGAGCCGGCTTGCTCGGTTATTGATGGCGCGAAAGATCACCGGAAGAAAGGATCGAAAGGAAAGACGCATGCCGACTCTTCCACTTTGTTCGTTGACAGGGATTGGGTTGCGGAACACGCTCGGCAGGTTCGATTTTACTCGCATTTCTGGATTTGAATATATAGGATTTCATTTTCCTTCAATCTATATAGGATTTACATTTTAGTTTCAATCCGGCGTCTGATTTATTAAATCATAATTGCACGTATGTGTAGATGATTATCTTAAATCTGTTCATGTTTCGCCATACAAATATTTTTGAAGGCTTGAAGCAAATGAATAAATCTATTTCAAAAACTAAAAAGTAAAATATTTTTAAAAAGTTAGTATACTAAAAAATAGCATGGCCTAATATATTCACAACATTAATTCTGAAGTAAAAGTACGGCGTATTAATCAAGTACACACAATCAAGTTGTTCAACTATTCATCTCATTTGATAACACAGCTTAATTCATCATTTTACTATGTTCTTGTGACATTTTTGAAATGGTTGATAGGATAAAACTCTTGATAAGTTTCTACTTTGACAACTTTGAAGAATTCCTATGTGTAATAAAAAATGTGATTGGTGGTGTCAACATAAATTTGCAAGCAGTGTAAGCATGTAGGGAAGTAACCGAAATTAGTTTAATTTTATATAGCCAATTAAAACAATATCTGAGCGCACGTTATGAGTTTAAACTTTGCACTACATTGCCACTGGGATAGAATACCAAAACCTTTATTGATTACAGAGTACATCCCATAGTATATAGTATTGGGTTTTTCTACAATGTTCCACGACACAATGTCACATATCTATTTCTGGTACGAGATGAGTTTCATAATGTACTCCGTAATATTAAAATAGAGCTATTTTTTTAAGATGCTGTTAGCCATCTCTTTTTAGTTGTGGTATACATAATGGTGTCTTACAACATCACACATTCTCCAGTAAAATACTCCAACCGGTCTCAAATGAATTTCACACTTTGACTTCATAGGCTATTGGGCAAGTTGTTTTTTGGTGTTGGCATTCTAACTATGCCTGATGTCGTTAGGGAGACGAGGTAGTGCTAAGAGAAAGCCGAAGTGAGAAGCTGAGTTTCAACTGATTGAGTGATGATGAAGCATGCCCTTGACTGTAGCCCAGTAGTGGGGGGGGGGTATATATTGAGTACAATTGGCATACAATTGCATGGAAAATATCATGAGAGGTGAGTGGATGACAATCAGTTGATACAATTGCTGTATTATGCCAATTGTAGAATTTATATTGCAAAATTTACATGCATAATCTCTTAAATGGTCACCTTCCTTGTTCCTACTTCTGATTAATGGTTGCATGTTGTGATGCATATTGTCATTTTCAGGTTAGAAGAATGCTATTGGGTGGTGTCAAAGTGGTTGGCATCTACATATGGGCCAGTGAGAGCTCATTTAAGAACTCAACGATAACTATTTGTCAGGTTTCTTTCACTCTGAAATAGTTTTTTGATGGCAAGTGCGAGTATTAAGATGAGAGTTCAATGCTGAAAGTTCACATAATGTAGTATTGCACTGAATATCAGCATTTTGTAGTTCATTACTGAGTATTAGCATTTTGATAGAACCTAGAAGGTCTAGATTAGAGTCTACCATTGTCTTTTAATGCTTTTCTTTATACGCTCATTGTTTTGGGTGCTTTCGTAGTACTAGCTGAAGCATCAGGTTTAACTATTCTTGCTCTTCATCTTTCAAGGTGGTCTTCTTATACTTTAATTTTTTCTAATGTCTTAGAAAGAGATGTTATATAATTTTTTGTACACAACTTCTGTGCTCACTATCACATATTTTCATTTTTGCTTAAGTTGTCAAATTTTTGTTCATTCAATGTATTTTTGCAGACAATACAAGCTGTTGCAAAGGCCTCCCCTTTTGTAGATTCTGATTGTGATGAGAGGTTGCTTGTTCATATTTGTTACAGTCCCATGAGGTAGCTTTCTG